AAAGCTTAACCTGCCTAGTTCCTGGTCCTCATACCTTATATACCTTTTTGCTTCCTACCATCACTTCCTGGGATTATAGGCTCACTCTGGGATTAAAGGCATGAGTCACCATGCCTGGCTGTTTGCAGTGTGGCTTTTAACTCAAAGAGATCCAAATGAAATTCTGCCTCCCAAGTTATAGGACTAAAGGCGTGTGTGCCCCCATTTTCTGGCCCCTATGTCTAGTGGCTGTTCTGTCCTCTGACTCAGATAAATTTATTAGGATGTACAATATTTTGGGGAACACAGTCACCACAGCTAAACTCTATTGGAGTTGGACAGGGCTGCTTGCTGGCCACATTCTGAACCTGGGAACCCCTCTTGGGGCAGGTAGGACAGGCTGACTAGAAATACTCTCTCTGAGGAGAGAAGTCTCACCTCATGGAGAAGACCATGTTCTCTGCCCAGAAACAGGGAGCAAAGGTGATTGAATACCCAGAGGGCAATCTCTGATTTTTAGCCAGGCAGGAGAAGAGGGCAAGGGGCTATTGTTCCATGAGACAGCTTAGGGCCCCTTTGCACCTCAGCCCTCCCCTCTGAGCAAGACCCTGTGAAAAGCCTGTCCTTCCTGTGTGGGATTTTACCTGGAGAGATCACTGCTGGGGTGGACAGCTCTTCCTCTGCAGGAGGGTCCTGTGTCCACACTGCCTCCTGGACATCTGGCCTGGCTCCCCGTGAGGCTGTCCGATTCTCTGCGAGACAGGTCCCCAACCCGTGACGTAGAAGCCATGGAGCTGGGTCTTGACTTCTTCAGGACTACAAAGCAGAAAGACACAGGAAGGACACTCTTAGTGGCCTTGGAACACAGGACTTCCTGTGCTGGCCCTGCATTGTCTAAGCTGCAGGTGTGACTCAGTTGGGACAGCTCTTGCCAAGCATGCAGGGGGTCCTGGGTTTGTTTCCCAGGACCAAATCAACCAGGCTTGGTGGGGAATTCCTTTAGTCCCTATATTTGGTAGCTGGAGGCAGAAGGATTAAAAGTTCAAGGTCATCCACCTATACATAGACAATTTAAAAATCAAAACCCGTCAAACACACTGGCAGCCTGAACTACACACAGAAAACCCAAGTCAAAACATGAGGAGAGTCAAAAATGAGAGGTTTCCACATGAGAGCAGACTGATAGTTATGCTACCGTGGTCTTTAAGAGTTATGTGCTTTGGCAAAGTAAAAAAAAGGCCATGAGTATAAGGAATAGACAGTAGTGAGGGGTATGGGTAAGGACAGGGTTGGAGAACTATGCATATGGAGTATGTGTGTTTGTGCATGATGCATGTGTGACTACAGGAGTAGGTGTGTGGATATGTGTGTGTGTGTGTGTGTGTCTGTGTGTTGGTGTGTCTTCCTATCTGTCTTTCTCTCTGTTCTAACCCTTTGAGCACACATGTAGACCAGGAATATTCATCAAATGCTTTTGCACCTTAGTTGTTTTTTATTGTTTTTTGAGACAGGTTTTCTCTGAGTTTACCTGGCTGTCCTGGAGTTGGCTCTCTAGACCAGCTGTCCTTGAACTCACAGAGATCTGCCTGCCTCTGCCTTTTAGTCCTGGAATTAAAGGGTTGCTCCATCCCCACCGGGCATTTACCTTCATTTTTGAGACAGGGTGTCTCATTGAGCTCAGGCCGGCAAGGTCCCACACTTGCCCTTTTCAGACCCAGGTCTCAGATGGCATAAGGACATGGCCACATCCATTTTTCACACAGTTCTTCCTTTCTCTGTGGCACTTTAGCCATTCCCCCATCTACTCAGGCATTGTCCAGATCTCATAGTTCAAAATGTGCAGAATTTCCATATTCTCCTTGAGATGGGATTCCACTCAGCCTGCAACTCACTCCTGCCTATACTGGCCTTGAGCTTTTCATACTTAACAGGGCAGAGTGGCTCAAAACTGGAATTTCTGCCTTGGGAAGTTAGAGACAAGGAGATGAGGATCCTGCTCAAGGTCATCTATG